CAGTTCTGGAACACCAAACAGACCCTGCAGTGCACAACACAGTGAGAACACATCACATCTGCCCCTTTGTTTCAGGATGGAATTATCAGCACAAAATTTTACCAAAATTATCCTAGACAGTATATTGTTACACTTCACTAAAACATTCCTACATGAGTGTCTTTGTAAAGAGAACAGTCACAAAATCAGTTAAAGACAGTGGTATCACACAAAAACATCTTAATTTCCCAGAACAAAACTTCACTGAGGTTCTTTTAGCCATAATTGTTCTCAGCAAGCCCTAAGAGTTCGGCATCAAATCTTCACAAACTCTCTTCTTCCACCCCATAACCTCCTATCCCATCTTCTTCTCAAAGCGTTTTTTATCTCACTTCCAAAGCACGGGCACCAGACAAATCATAGGAAGTCCATTTACATTCTGAAATGAGGGAAAATCATCCCCCTGAAGCAAAAGAGACTTATCAAGGAATATCAGGACTAAGTAGGAGTGCCAGAACAATGAATAAGGTGGCCAGGAGCAGATACAAATGGATTGCAGGCAACAGGACAGTTGTCTCGGGCTCATTAAATGAGCCCCAAATACCAGAACCAGATCTCAAAGAAATGATCAGTAACAGCTCAAAAAATTTCATGATATGAACAGTTTTATTCTTGAAGTTCGTATCAAGCCTGGTCCTGTCTAACAGGACAAGGTAAACACACTGATTCGGGCAGGATAGTCACAGACAGCAGTTCTGTTCTGCATTTGTGGAAGAGAATTAGAGGTCCTACTGCAAATCAAACAAAATTGCTATCACTACTCGCTAGAGCAGTTCCACAATACAGACCTACAACAGTAAAAACACTTCATTTAAGATAAAACAGCATCTCTGCAAGCAATACACTCCCTCTGCAACTGCCTAAATGCAACATGAGCATCTCCTTACCTCCTAACTACAGCATCTAACAGTACAAGGTACACAATTTTACACAACATCCATCCCTTCCCAAATTTAACCTCAGCATCTAAAAACTACAACCTGGATTTGAAAATCTGCAGGCAAGTCACTTTACAATACACCTTCTGAAAACTCTTTTGTGCTACAGCAGTCAGTTGCAGGTTTGCATGTAGCTTCCAAGTATTTACCCAAATAAAATTAAAAGCTGAAAACTGACAACTTGTCTGTAAAAGTATACATTCTGAAGCAAAAGCATCCCCTAAAGTAACTATATGGGACATTCTGAGTCACTTTTTCCTGTTTTCTTCCTGCCACTGTTGCCAAAACTGTACTCTCCCCCCTCTTTTTTTTTTTTAACTCTCCTAATGTTCTTACTATAAGCTGGCCACCCTAAAACAGAAACTGTCTCCTCACACTTCACATGTTTTGATTTATTATTTGGAAACAGGAACTGGACTGAAATGAACACTGAAAAAAATATTTTTATATATTTACACATGTATATAAACACGTGCACACAAACACAAATATACGTGTACCATACCACCTTTCCATAATGTATGCTGTCTAAGAGACTCACTCAGATCCTCAGCCAGCTGATGCAGCATCCTGCAACATCCCAGACAGCTCCTGGCCTTCCTGCTGCCCTACATCACCATTCACTCTCCCAACTGAGCTCCTCCTGCGCATGTAGTCCTTTGTGGACAAGAGATATCTTCTCTTAGAGATCAATTTGCCATGGAGCTTGTCTTCCATATGACTGCCAAGTTCAACATACAAATCTAAAAATTGCAAAAAAAATGAAGCCTGGTGTGCAGGTCTCTGTATTCTTTAACAGTGTGGCTGCACAGCTGAAGCATTATTCTATTTGCTTGGCCTCAGCATTTACACCCTTCCTGTCGCAGCCTCTTTGGAAGCCTGAAATACACATCTCTAATTCCCAAAGAACTCTACATCCTCTCCGTGGGCCAACTGAATCCAGAACTCATTCCCTAGGCCAGGAAAATGCAAAATATTTAACTGAAATATTTCCTGGAGCAAGACTTACACCAGGGTATCTGCAGAGGTAGAAGAGCCAGAATAAGTTTCCCAAACAAGTGCTGGTTTATAAACAGAGGTCAGGTTTGTCCTCACTGAATCCCTTAGTCTCAGAGTTGAACAGCTTCACCAGCCTGAGCACCATGGCAGGAACAGCTGAGTCAGCAGACTAACACCTGGATTTTACAGGAGTAAGCATTCTGCATGCACTGTGCCACTGAAGGTACATATCTTATGCTGTCTAGGAACTTGTTTAGATTCCCAGGACTCTCATTAGCAAACATACCTGACTCATCCTGAAAATAAATAAATCAAAAAGCCTGACTGTCACAAACCCAGCAAAAAAATGTTGTGGGTTTTTGTTTGTTTTTTTTTTTTTGCCACAAGCAATTGAATGTTAAGAATGATATCCACACAAAAGGATATCATCAGTCTATCTGATTTTGAGGCACTGCAGGAGTGCACTGGCATGACACTGATGGATTAAAAAAGCCACAGCCAGGTAAGAGTTAGCAGTGGAAGGGATAATGCATATATATATATATATATATACTTATGGTCTCTATTGAGGCTCTAAGCAAATGTTTAAATAAACAAGGCTTTGATTTTCAAACTCTCGCGTGTCCAGAAGACAGAATGCTTTGGCTCATGAGAACCAAAACAAACCCTTACAAAGATGTCACCGCCAAAACAAACCCTTACAAAGATGTCACCGCCAAAACAAACCCTTACAAAGATGTCCCCCCGGCACCGCGATTCGGAAGCTTTAAAAAAAAAAAAAAAAAAAAAAAAAAAAAAAAAAAAAAAAAAATTTGCACTGAAGAACAGCCGAGCGCCGGGCTGCCGGCAGCCAGGACCGCCTCCAGCCCGCCGCAGGCCCGTCCCCGCCCGCCGCTCACCGTCTCCCTGCCCGCCGCGCTGCCGCGCAGCTGCTGCTGCTGCTGCTTCGCATCGAAGGCGGCGCCCACCGGGCTCCAGCTGGTGCTGACGGCCCGGCGGCCCGGCCCCGCCGCCCGGCCCCGCAGCGCCCGGCCCCGCAGCGCCCGGCCCAGCGCCGCCGGCAGCGCCCGCCGGCAGCCGGACAGCATGGCGGAGCAGGCCCCAGCACCAGGCCCCAGCACCAGGCCCCAGCACCAGGCCCCAGCACCAGGCCCCAGCACCAGGCCCCAGCACCAGGCCCCAGCACCAGGCCCCAGCACCAGGCCCGGCCGCGGTGGAGGGAGGCGGAGCTCCCCGGCCGCCGCCCGCCCTCAGCCCGCCCGCCGCCCTCGCTCCCTCCCCGGCCGTTCCGGCTGCGGGCGGCCGTGGCCCGGCCCGGCCCGGCCCGGCGCTGCGGGGAGGAAGGGAAGGGCCCGGCGGTGGGAGGAGGGGCCCTGCCGACTGAAACCTCCCCTATATGTTTTCCAGTTAAAACTAAGTCCACTTTAAAGTGGTGTTTTGTTTTCTTTTTTTTTTTTTTTTTTTTTTGGTCTAGATGCTTCTATGACACAAACTGATGGCCTGTGGTTTACAAGAAAAAGATCTTTTGCTGAAAAATTCACATAACCCTTTCACCTGTCACGGGGAGTCCCAGTATCTCCTTCACTGTAATTCAGCAGATGTGGGAAGTGCAGCCGTTTTTTTTTCCCGAAGAAACCCACCTCGCTCTGTTCGTTTTGGGTCTGGGATCTGTACTCGGGGTTCAGCAACTGTGGGGATGTCGTGTCCCCCCCCAGCATTAGGGGTGATGGAAAGCCAAGCCTCATGCGCCTACAAGGCGTTTGCACTGAATTTCACGATGCTGACCCATATCAGCATCTCTGCTTTATTCTCTTTCAAGGGGAGGGAGTGAGACTTACCAACATCTTTTGTTATATTTTTGAGTTTTAGGGGAAAAGGGGGGAAAAAGAAAAAAAATTGAGAAAAATTCCAGAAATTAAAGTTTTGTGGCACAGAAGATATCTCTCCATCACTTCTCCAGTATGTCTGCTTCAGTGTTGATTAAAAGTTATCTTGCATTTGAGAGAATTTGTTTTGCACCAGCTAATTCTGAAGTACAGCAGCGTTATGCTGTATCTTTGCACCAGCACTGAGAATCCGTTCCACATCAGAGACCCCACATGGCACTTCCTCCTATCACTCCATTTTGCTCTCTTTCAGACCTTCATCTACCATGTTGAAAAGCTGTGAAATCCACCCAGCTGCAACAAAACTCACTTGTGCCACAGAGCCAGCAGCCCCTGTGGAGGTATCAAACTATGCTAATTTTAAGTTAAAAAATTATTTTGAAATAGTTGGATGTAAACTAACCAAGTTTCAAGTCCATCTATGCATGCCACCTAGAAAGACAGAAACTGGCTTGGAAGTAACTGCTGCGTAATGTTTATACAAGATGGCAGTGACCTACATGTCATAATTCCAGAACTTTAAATTTTATTGTTTATTTCATCCCACTTTATTTTAAAACATTTGTCCTCTAGAACTGGTGTATGCACCCCTGTATAGCTACAGTAAGTCACCAAACCAGTAATGTGTAGATTCTTTAGAGCTGTCCTCTCCTTATGCAGAAGCTGTTGCTGAAACCAAGGGTCCTGCAACTGCAGCCATAAAAACAGTTTATGCACATGAGGAATTTCTTTTATTTTGAGTTTTAAAAAGCAAAGCTGACAACAGTAGATTAGGACAGCTTAATAAATAAACACCTGATACCTTGTGACTGGGACAAGAAGGTGTTAAATTCAAACTCTTCTGAGCAGGGCTCTGAGGCCTTGAGCTCTGTTTTAGCAGCTGGTCCTGAAAACTTCAGCACAGTAAGTTGTGCAATGAGCAGTTGTGTGCATAATGAAGCCTGGTTTCCTACAGATATAAGTAGTGTGATCCTACACCTTCCCACTGTGATGACTTCAGTTTAGAAACAAAAAAAAAAATGTACTCAACATTTAGGGAGATGCCTAGCTGGTCCCAACCCACCCTGCCGTCCTACACCTCCCTTTCAGCCCTCAGTGTACCTCCCTGGATGATTTCTGGTTTCTGTTGAATCCAGTAGAAATTGGCCAGCAGATAACAACTTTATTAGGGAGGGCTGAAGGACACAGACGTCCAGCATTCACAGGTAACGTGGAGTTATGCGGCAGGCGACGGCAGCGGCTCCAGCAGGTGAGAGGTGCTGAACAGGAGGAACCCCGAGAAGGTGGTATCATCATCAGCGTCTGCAAACAGCCCGTTGAAAGTCTCTCCTTGGTGAGCCTGCAGCCACACCTCGTCTCCTCCCTGTAGCTCGAGAATGGCAGCTCCCGAGGCCTGGTCCTCACCACTCTGGTACCTGTCCACTGTGTGCAGCATCTTGATGCCGTTTTTAACTAGAGCTACTCGGACGTTCCTTGAGTAGACAGTGATGTGGTAGGTGAAATAGTAAACACCAGGATATTTGCAGGTGAATTTGCCAGTAACTGAGTTGTAGTCATTCAGACTATTATACAGCACCTTGTCAAACTTGATCGGACGATTCGGGGGGGGGAATTTGGTGGCAGTTGTAAGGCCAACACTGAAAGCACTCCTTGGCAGGACTGCTGGGGCACCTACATTCCCCTTATCTCCTCTGTCTCCTTTCAAGCCTCTTTCCCCCTGAACTCCTGGGTTACCCTGTGGCCCCAGATCTCCAGCATTACCTTTAGGACCTGGATTTCCAGCTGGGCCAATTGGCCCTGGGAAACCAACTCTTCCAGGGTGGCCAATTTCACCCTTTGTCCCTTTTGGACCTATGGGCCCAATGTCTCCTTTTAAGCCCCTTTGTCCTTGCAGTCCCAGCTCTCCCTTCTGACCTTTGTAACCCACTGACCCGATAATTCCTTTTGGACCCAGTTTCCCAGGTCGTCCTCTTTCTCCTTTATCTCCTTTGTTCCCCTTCTCTTCCACAGTGCCTTTGGCTCCTACATGAAAAACAACAACAACAACAACAAATAGAAAAAGATACTTTCTTGTGATCTTCCACTGGATTAGTGTGGTGTGAGTTTTAGCATTAAGACATATATGTGTAGGTGTGTGTCAACATAGCACATATGTGCTCACTGTACATACAATGTCTCATACATTTAAGTGCAGGATAAGCACAATATTTGAAGAACCTGTTATTCTGTTAGAAAATAGGTGCCCTGGCTGAGAGCAGTAAGAATAAGATCAAAGAAAGGAGGGAGTATTATTTGTCTACAGACAGCAGTGATAGCTCACATCATCTCATGCACAGCAGCATCTGTCCAGAAACTTGTTTTCAGCTTTGGTATACAAAATGGGGAAGATGGTTTACTATTTAATCAGAGGGAGGTTCTATTTAGACAACACCCAGAACTTGCTTGCTATGTGTTTCTTTAAGTTCTACATGATAGAACTTTGTTTGGGTTACCCAGATTGCTACTGCAGTGCAACTAAAGTCATTTTGTTCTTGTTATTTGCTACCATGTTCTCCATTTATCCTTCATACACTCTTGGACTGAAGCTCAAAACCTTTGAAAATCCTCTGATGGCTGCATGAGGGTTTAAAGGTGAAGGCCTCATGATGTGAAGGGCATGTTAAGGATCTTTGCACAGGAGTTAGCAGGGCTCATTGAAAGAGCTTTAAACTAGGTTTGAAGGGGGAAAGGGGTAAAACCAGGCTTGCTAGAGATAAACCTGGGGGCAGCACGCCAATGTTTCAGAGACAGTGAGGTCCTTTGGTCTACCATCTCAGTGGAGGTAGGGGACGGAGATCCATGTGGCAGCAAAGATGCAAAGGTTATTGATGTGTTGGAAACCATGGAAGCACCTGAAAATGGTCACAAAGGAATTACACCTTCTCTCCCCCAAAAGGTGGCGGCATCAATAGTCCAACTGAAGTGCATCTACACCAATGCGCACAGCATGGGCAACAAACAGAAGGATCTGGAAGCCACTGTGCTGTAGGAAAACTATGATATAGTTGCCATCACAGAAACACGGTGTGATGACTTGCACAACTGAAGTGCTGCAATGGATGCTATAAGCTCTTCAGAAGGGATAGGCAAGGAAGGAGAGGCAGTGGGGTAGCCCTGTATGTTAGGGAGTGCTTTGATTGTCTAGAGATTAATGATGGTGATGGTAGGGTTGAGTGTTGTCCTGGGTTTGAGTGAGTGGTGGGGTTTTTTGGTAGCAGGGCAGGGGGCTATAGGGGCGGCCTGCTGGACCTGTTGTTCACAACCAGAGAAGGACTTGTGGGTGATGTGATGATTGGAGGCTGTTTTGGGCATAGCAATCACAAAATTATACAGTTTCTGGGAGAAGTAAGAAGGGGGTCAACAAAACTGCTACCTTGGACTTCTGGAAAGCAGACTTTGGCCTGTTTAGGAGCCTGGTGACAGAGTCCCTTGGGAAGCCATCCTGAAGGGCAAAGCTGTCCAGGAAGGCTGGACATTCTTTAAGAAGAAAATTTTAAAGGTGCAGGAGTAGGCTGTCCCCATGTGCTGAAAGACAGGTTGGCGGGGAAGAAAACCAGCCTGGCTGAACGGAGAGGTTTGGCTGAAACTCAGGAAAAAATGAAGAGTTTATGACCTTTGGAAGAAGGGGCAGGAAACTCAGGAGGACTACAAGGATGTTGTGAGGTTATGGAGGGAGAAATTTAGATGGGCCAAAGCCCAACTAGAATTTAATCTGGCTACTTCTTTAAAAGATAATAACAAGTGTTTCTATAAATACATTAGCAACAAGAGAAGGGGTAAGGAGAATCTCCATCCTTTATTTGATGTGGGGGGAAACATAGTGACAATGGATGAGGAAAAGGCTGAGGTACTTAATGCCTTCTTTGCCTCAGTCTTTAATGGTAAGAACAATTGTGCTTCGGGTACCCAGCCCCCTGAGCTGGAAGACAGGGACAGGGAGCAGAATGAAGCCCCCATAATCCAAGGGGAAATGGTTAGTGACCTGCTACACCACTTAGACACACACAAGTCTGTGGGGCCAAATGGGATTCACCCAAGGGTATTGAGGGAGCTGATGGAAGTGCTCACCAAGACCCTTTCAATCATTTATCAGCAGCCCTGGCTAACCGGGGAGGTCCCGGTTGACTAGAAGTTAGCAAATGTGATGCCCATCTACAAGAAGGGCTGGAAGAAGGATCTGGGGAACTACAGGAGCAAATCATCTTGAGCAGATCATCCTGACTGCCATCATGCAACACATACAGGACAACCAGGTGATCAGGCCCAGTCAGCATGGGTTTATGAAAGGCAGGTCTTACTTCACTAACCTGATCTCCTTCTGTGAGAATGTGACTCGCTTAGTGAATGAGGGAGAGGCTGTGGATCTTGTCTACCTAGACTTTTGTAAAGCTTTTGACACTGTTTCCTACAGCATTCTCCTGGAGAAAGTGGCAGCTCATCGCTTGTACAGGTGTACTCTTTGCTGGGTAAAAAAAGTGGCTGGATGGCCAGGCCCAAAGAATGGTGGTGAATGGAGTTAAATCCAGTTGGTGGCTGGTCACAAGTGGTGTTCATCAGGGCACAGTACTGGGGTCACTTCTGTTTAATATCTTCATCAATGATCTGGACAATAGGATCCAGTGCACCCTCGAGTAAGTTTGCAGATGACACTAAGCTCAGTGGCAGTGTTGATCTGCCTGAGGGTAGGAAGGCTCTCCAGAGGGATCTGAACAGGCTGAATAAATGGGCTGAGGCCACTCGTATGAGGTTCAACAAGGCTTAGTGCCGGGTCATGCACTTGAGTTACAACAACCCCATGCTACACTACAGTCTTGGGGAAGAGTGGCTGGAAAGCTGCCCAGTGGAAAAGGAGGTGTTGATCAACAGCCAGCTGCATATGAGCCATCCGTGTGGTCAGGTAGCCAAGAAGGCCAATGGCATCCTGTCTTGTATCAGAAATAGCATGGCCGGCAGGACTAGGGAAGTGATTGTCCTCCTCTGCTTGGCACTGGTGAGGCTGCACCTCAAATACTGTGTTCAGTTTTGGGCCCCTCACTACAAGAAAGACATTGAGATGCTGGAGTGTGTCCAAAGAAGAGCAACAAAGCTGGTGAAGGGTCTAGAGCACAAGTCTTTTGAGGAACAGCTGAGAGAACTGGGGTTGTGTAGTCTGGAGAAAAGGAGACTGAGGGGGACACCTTACCATTCTCTACAACTACTTGAAAGGAGGTTGTGGCAAGGTGGGTGTTGGTCTTTTGTCCCAAGTAGCAAGCAATAGGACAAGAGGAAATTGCCTCAAGTTGCACCAGGGGAGGTTTAGACTGAATATTAGGAAAAAACTTCTTCACTGGAAGAGTTGTCAAACACTGGAACAGACTGCCCAGGGAAGTGGTTGAGTCACCACCCCTGGGGGTATTTAAAAGGTGTGTAGACATGGTGCTTAGGGACATGGTTTAGTGGTGGACTTGGCAGTGCTAGGTTAACAGTTGGAATTAATGATCTTGAAGTTCTTTTCCAACCTAAACAATTCTATGATTCTATGTTAGCAGTTGATAGACAAAAGATATCACAATTATGATATACTTTATCAATCAGGAAAACTGATATTTTCTGCATAAGAGCCTCTGGCTTCTGATATTAGTAGTAATGCTGCATTTACAATTTACTGTTCTCAATTTACAATTGAGAGTAATTAAGAGCAGAAGTGAACTGAAAACAGGTGAGATTGTATGGTGAGCCTCTGGGATCACGAGTCCATGAGGACAAGGACACAGGAAAAGAAAGTAGCTTTGGTAATTTTAAACATTTGTGGCCTCATGTCTCACGCTCCTGCCAGGACTGGGGTCATTTCTGTTAGACTGGAGAAAAGTCTGAGGATTGTAGAGCAGCTTGTAATTATTCCCATGTAATGCATATACCGTATGTTATTTCTCAGGGTCAACTTCAGGATTTTGGAGAACCTGAACACTGTCTTTGGCAGTCTTCTATGCTTTTGGACATATACATTTAAGAGTACAATTACTCTTAGGGATGCACACATCCAGCATCTCAGAGTTACTGAATTTGTGCAGAATGATGCGATTCCATTTGCACAATGGCTGAGTCCCTGTTTTTATGCACAAGTCACTCTGAATGTGTACATCCATCTGACACAGGAGACATGCTGCATGTGCATAGTCTGGCTAAACAGGTGAAGTATACAGAATCTATTGTATTTTTAGGTGTATAACTTGCGTCTTCTACAATTTCTTTTAAAAGTCCCTTTCCTTGAAGTTGCACACATAGCTACAGGAGCCTCACTTTCCCGAGGCAGCTGCAGATGTGGTATCTTCCTCAGCAGCTGAAAAAAGGATCAGAGAGGGGAAAGATAGGATAACAGTCTGAGTGAACAAGCTGTAGGTCATCAGAGGTAACAGGATAATTGGAGGTGACAAATTCCTCTTGCATTGTCAGCATATGTGTGCAGCTGCTACTGCTTCTGGAAAAAAGGTTCTTTAACCTTTATGGTACTTTCATTACAGCTAGTATGCATAGTACATCCAGTACTCACAAACACAAGAGCAGCAGTTGACAGACAAATAATACATTGAAATACTTCTTCTCTGACCTTGTTCGCCTTTCTCTCCATTTGCACCATCTTTGCCTGGACTGCCAGGATATCCTGCTTCACCTAGTACAGGAGAGAAAAACTGATTTTCGTTAAACAATCAAATTACCAGAAAACTTGGGATGAATCCTTCTCTAATCCTTCTTCTTCAAACCTGGATAAACAGTAATGTTTAGAGTAGTCTTATTCCTGAGTTTTATTGAGTGAAACTGCTGGTACTTTTATCTTATAGAGAGATTGATGGAAACTCTGCTTGAGGACAGTGCTTTTTTGAGACAAAGGGAATCCTTGGCATGAAGTAGTGGGTTATTGAGATATGTATGGGAGCTATACCCTGGTCAGGATGACCGATGTAAAAACCTCTTCTACTGTTGTTGCCTCCATCCATGGAAGATACCAACAGGAAAAGGAGTGAGAAAGCCACATTCAGCAAGAATCTCTGCAGGGACAGGAAGCCTAGTGATGAATCAGTGGTAAACTCCCCTCTCAAGAAGAGACATCTGCAGGGGTTTGGCCAATAGTAATGAAACATTACAGTGGAATAATAGTGCCTGTAGATCTGAGGAAGGCATTCACACTCTTGAGGTCAATACGTTAGTGGATAGACTTGTCTTTCAGTGGTCCAGGGCAGGCCATAAGCAGTGAATAATTCATTGCCCAAATGATAAATGCTGGTTATTTTTCAGCTGATCTAGTTTTCTGTATAGCCACACAAACAGTTGTGGTGTGTAAGAGAAGAGTCAAGTGGTAGGAGAAGGATCTGATAGAGGATCCTGCCTATGCCAGCAGAGCCATCGAAGAACCACACATCAAACTACAGCTTCAACACCGATTCTGCAGCACACACTGTCTGCGAAGGCGTATACTTTTCTGGTGGAGCCGGTGATTCATTAGCTTAGCGACTTGGTCTGTTAAAGACAGACATTTCCACTAGCTTGAAAGACAGTAAAACACTTTAGCACATTTTAACTTAATTCCTTTTAGACTGTTGACCTCATTTTGGTTTATGTACTAGATTATATACTCCACTGAAAAGAGCTGTGATTCACAATCCTTAAGATCAGCTCTTGGTAGAACGGTTTATCTGTTAAGTACGGGTTTGATCCAAATTGATTTGTGCAGCTGAGTTAGCCAGGCCCACAATAACAGTATTTGTGACCAGTTAATGCATTAAACCATAATGTCACCTGCATGAAGCTACACAATAGCTGACCTAACATAAAGCCTGTTGGGGAAAAGGTGTCCCCCAAAAAAGTTTTGTGAACAAATTGGAAGCAGCAAATTTGCGCTTGTCCTGTGCTTTGCATTCTGGGGTCGTGACACTTCAGATGAAGTGTTACATGTCCATATGCTCACAGATTTACCACCTTGTGCAACCCTGGCCTTGATATTCCAGCATGGAGGCAAGGGCCATTGTTTTCCTGAGGTTTAATGTACTATATGAATTACTAGCTTTTGGATGCTGAGTAGATTACCTCTGCCTTCAGTATCACACAGAAATCTCTATTATAGACTGTTAGAGCAGATATGAATCCTATACTGCTTTTCATTAGTCTCCATTCTTGAATTTCCCTCTAGTGGCTCTTGAGTTAGAGCAACTAGGCACACTCAGAAGCAAGTCATATAAATGTAAAATACAGATAAGAAAGAGAAATCTTCTTCCTGCTACACACTTCTTATTACACCTTATTACATGTTTTTTTTTTTTTTTACTGAGATTGAAGCTCTTTACAGAAATATAGCTGCTACCTTAGAGATCTAGAAGTAGGTTTACAGGCTTTAAAATTTTCAAATAGACATGAAACTGTTCCCAAAATAGAAGGCATAGTCTTTCTTCTTTTGTTTTTATCCCATGGACTTGACCTCTCCATAGTATTAGCTATCTTGCTTTCATTATTAGTTCGTTCTTTCTATTTTCTTCTTCAAACACATAAACGACAAATGTCTGAAATGTTTCCTGAAGGCTAGGCAGAATAATCCTATTAATGCAGAGTGACTACAGACAACTTCAGGAACTAGTGGCATTGCATTTGATACATGAAATTATTTATTCTGAGTATAGTACCTGTATCTCCCTTGTCGCCTTTTGAACCGTCACGTCCGTCACGACCAGGTATGCCATTGTGTCCAGGATTGCCGGGGATGCCAGGATACCCTTGGGTACAGATGTCCTGGTTTTGTGTTTCTGCTGTGCTGACTACAATAGCCAGCAGTATAATCCAGCTTTTCATTCTTTATATAGGTTATATGATTTTGGCTGAAAGATTTAAGAAAGCAAAAGTCCATCTGCCTAAATCTACCTTAGAAGGGGATGCAGAGTGAGGGAGAGAGGAAAAAGAGGAAATGGGTTTTCACCACGTCTATTGTTTTCTTTTCTTTTTTTTATGCATCACTATATAGCATTAAGTACAGTCCTAGAGACTACTGAGTGCTATTTTAAATAATAATTTAATGGAAATATCAGCCATAGCATCCTTATACATTTGAAACATTAACTCAGCTTTACACAGTTCAAAATATTCCTTAGTTCCCTGTGATATGGAGCATCAGGTTCTGTTTCCTGTTTTCTTATGCAGTATCACTTGTGGAAAGAAGTGACTCTGCAAATGGAAATTTTGATGCAGGTAGATGGTGAGCAGCTAAAAGTCACAAAAGCTCTCTGGAGGTTTAGAGCTACACTTGATGTCCTCATGATCTAGCCAGCAAACAAGAAAACAACTGCTCATTGCATCCCAGAGTTTCATGCTGGTCTATTTGAACCATGAGTGTATTGACAAAGCCCAGATTTCATGGATTTGGCTGAACTTAACCTAGATTTCAAGATCATAATAAAAATGCCACTTGGACAAAAGTGATCATCTTGCCCCCAGTCCCCCAGCAATTACAGCAAGGAATATACACTTGCAGCAGCTATATGCCAAAGAACTTCCAGTGACCTGTCTTACTCCAACCAAAACTGTGAAATCCCAATGTCTGGCAAATCTACTAAGGAAGTGTGCTAATAATAATGTTGTTTCTATCGTAAGCCCAAATCAACAGTCAGAATTTCAAGTCTTCAAAGGGTGATTCAGGTAGGACCAGTGATCCTGCATTCATACTCAAGGATTCATACAAAGTCGTTTCTTTGAGCTGTAGTTCTGCTTATGGAACATACAGGCATTCTCCTTGTTCAGAAATCTCTTCGTAAAATCCTCTAGCCAGAACAGTGCCCAAGCAGGAGCTATTTCATGGCAATTGCTGCCTTTCAGAGCCATGCAGAAGCCTGTCTACGTTTTCCAGCTTCCTCTTTCCTATTTCAAAGACTTCCTACCAAAGAGCACCTTATGCATTTGGAGCCTGTAAGGAAACCCTTCTCTCTGATCTCCAACCTTTTATCAGTGTTGGCCATTAGTAACCCATTATCTATCTAACAGCTTCTTAAGGGAAAAATAAGTGGGTCAGCCAAGCAGTTCATAACCAAGAAGAAACAAAGATCTTAATGCCCACTTCTCAATCTGCATTTCTTTCTGCATCTTCTCATGACTGCACAGTTGTATCTCTCATCACCCAGGAGCTGGCTCTGGTGCCACAGGAGGTGAACTAGGGCAATTCAACCTCCTAATTCAGCACAAAGCAATAAACTTTTTCCCTCTTTTTTTTTTTTTTTTTTTTTGGTGTTTTTGTTTTTCCCATTGGAATTAGTCATCTACTGGGTTAATAAATTGAGTGACCTCACAGAGGGTCAGAGCTGGAGAGGAGCGAGGTAAGGTCAAAGATGTAAGGGATCAAGTAAGAGAGTTTTTTGGAAAAAAAAAAAGTCTTTGGTCTGGTTCTCCCCCTTCATGTAACTATTCTACTTAGAGTCCAGCTTGTATTTATCCTTTCATTAGAGTGGCCCTCCTATATGTCTTTTAATATAGGCCCACTGAAATACATTAATACTTAATTCTGGACATAAATGCTTTAAGTGAGTGTAAGTGCAATTAGTGGAAAGATATTAGATTGAGGAACAAAAATCAACTAGCAACAAAAACAATGCCCATTTTATTTGGAATTAATATTCATAAATATCTAATGCAGAGAAGCTTGGGCTATATAGGTTAAGTACTTATACAGGTAAAAGTGATAGAATGAGTAAATTTTACATAAATGTCTTTTGAATTGGTCCTTTCATTAATGAGAACTTATTACTAAAGTCAGTATTCCTTTTGAAATATTAACTAGCATTGACTGAAAAAATTATGTCTTCTGTTTAATCTTTTCACCACCATTTCTCAGTCTTATGAAACAATGCACACAAATACCATGTAGAGAGAGATAAGTATGTTCTCAATAAGAATAATTACACCCTACTAGCAGTATTCAATCTAAATATTCTTTTAACTTAATTTATAGAGGAAGACCTTAATTTTGAGACATGTTCCTTAATCTTTTTATTCTGTTTTTAGAAAAGTTCCCAATTTTGCAAGTTATTGGAAATGTGATTTACGGTGCCTTTTCCAATGGTCTACAGAGAGATGTTTGATCACCCACAAGCAAAATCCCGCTTTGTCTGCTGCTGCTGGTTGACACCAAAGAACTTGAAAATAGATTAAACATTTGCTACTTTTGAGCTATGTAAACATTTGCTGCCTTAGTGAAAGGACTCCAGAAGAACACGAAGGGAAAAAGTTCTCTGTATGACACTGTTAGGGTATGATGCACCCCGTGAAAAAGCCTGAGAGTCCTTATTCACTGACAGAAAACCCTATTTCCAGTTTTTAAGGGAGTATTTCTTGCACAAGGAACAGACAGTTTGGTCCCTGTACATGCACTCCTCTCCACAAGCTGACAACATCAATAGCAGCAGCAGCAGCTCCACCACCACCATCATCACATACGTGAGATCTTTGGTCTTACCTCATTCACGTCGTACTTGCAGTGTGCTTGGGCATCTTTAACCTGGGTATAAAAGCTTCATGTAAAGGAATGCACGCTTCAAATACGTGCCTTGAGGACAAGCACTTGTTTGGTCACTAAATTCTCAAAGGTCAGTGATTTAATTTTGAGAGCTGTTCAATAATTAAAACAGAAGTTTAAGCTGGAATCTTCCTATTTATTCCAATATTAAGCTGCAATGCTCTGTACTTTGGCTTTTACTGCTGTTATGTGAAAGAAAATTGTTAAAATGGATAAATAAGGCCTTGATTTGCCTGTTCCATTATACAAACACATTACACAGATGTTACCCTTTGACAGGTTTGTTGATTTGTGGGATGCAAGGCATGTTTCATACCATTATTGTGCTTCAAAAACATGTAATAAAGTTAGTTTATGTATCAAGCAATTTACAACGCAATTAGGGAGAAAAAAAATCCTAAAGAAAATAACAGTGCTGTTACTGTGGCATTACAAATATTAGGTGATTATGGAAAAGAAGTAATGAGGTTGAATTAAAGTAAATAACTGGAATGACAAAGAGAGGTTTTCATGTGTAATTGTCAGGCTCCCCATCTAGCCATTCAAGCACCAGTCAAAGCTATTGTGCTACTAAATTATGCATTATTGGTAACTAAATTTGAAGAATCCATAACTTGATATTTAATTCTTCTTGAAACTACTGAAACTGCTGCTGTCTAAGGACTAGTGGAAGTAAAGCAACTGAGTGTATCATCAACTCCATAAATGCTGATCATGAACAGTGAAAGATAAAACCAATAGTAACAGGAGTTAATGTGTCATAGGAAGGAGCCTTAATTCACCTCTGTTGGTACAAGAGACTGAAAACACTGTGTCTGAGGGGGTTCCCACACTGCAAAGAGATGACCGTGTAGTCTGCCTATCAAATAATGTATTCTCAGCAGAGCTGAGCAAGAAATAGTTTTTACTAAGGTCTTCACCACCACCCTGTGGTAATAAGAAAATACTGCAAGCATTACGGTGCTCTGGGAAAAAGGAAGGACAATGTGCAGCAAAGAGCTGCTCTACTTGAATGAACTTCTATAGCCAAATTAGCCTTGCTGCTGTGCTAATTGAGAAGAATAAATGAGAGCCATGACAGACAATTCTTTTCTCTTTACCCATGAGGCACCTTTCTAAGGTTCTTAGCCACAGCCCCCTCTCACACTTCAAAAGTTTGAGTCATTAAAAAACAGCCCACCCTGCCAATTTAGTGCTGTTTCTTCAGTGATCTGTCCTGCCATGCAGAAAACCTGGATTTATTGACAAACCTTCCTGGCTGCAGGGTGCTGGGAGAGCCGGTGGCTCTGTGGGGACAGCACTGGGGGCAGCAGGGTCTTCTGGGGACATGGCACCAGCAGCGGCAGGGCCTCCCGAGGAGGCAGGACCCTTACACTGACCCAAAAGAGGCTGTGAATTTTACAATGACAACAGTCACGGTCTGTCCATCCCAATCATGAGGTGAGAATGACAGAGTTCATTAGTTACATCTACCCTGATGGACTCTGCGGTTAGTCTGGTTTGATGCTTTTTGACAAGAGAACCGAGAAAACTGCTGCGGGAATGGCCTTGAAGACAAACATTACTGTCAGCTGCTTTCTAGTGTGCCTTGTGTCATCCCAGAACAAGGCCTTGGAAATAATTCCACAGTAGCAAAATTTCATCATTTGCTCTTAAAAAACGTTGTCTCTGAATGGCAGGATGTGCAGGAGTTTTTAGATTGATTGCTGTGCTAATTACCTTTGTTAGAAGCTGACTATGGCAGTAATGACCGTGAGATGGATGGTTAATAAAAGAAGATATACCTAACCTTATAAACAGAGCACCTTCCAGACATTTTTTCAGTCCTTCATGAGTCAGTATCTCCAAAGTCTGAGGTCTGCTTAAAGGTAGAGGCCAAGGTTAAATGTGCCTAGCAAATTTGCCTTCTGACAGTTCAAGGTATATATTGGGCCTTCTGCCTTCATTTCCGATGTGCCAGAAACGAGGAGGAATTTGCCATGAGTCTGGTTCTGCCAGCAAAGTCCCTCGGGGGCACCTGGAGCTCCTCCTTCCCCCAAAGTAGTTTCAGCTTTCCAAAAATCACTAGGAGAAACAGTCAATAAATCCTACATCATGTGTTTTTCCTGTGAGTGACTCTCAGCCCATGAAAGGCAGTGGTACTCCTTGCTTGACTAACCTCTGCCCTCTCAGCTGGGCCCTTCTGAGCTTTGCTGACACCAGACTCCAAGGATGCATACACCTCCCAACCTTCACTTGTCTGCAGAGTGGTTTCTCCATCATTGCTGCTGGCCCACGCTGAATGTTTAAAATGTTAAAATGACTCAAGTAAAACCTTGCCCAGGTGTCCTGTGTGCGTCCCATCCCCACTCCCCCCCCAAGATGCACGACAGAGCTATGAGATGGAACATAAGCAGCGGGAGGGTGCGATGGGCAAGTGCCAGCAGAGGCATTATCTGGGGATGTGTCTATAAAGGGTGGGAGCGTGCGGGTGTGTGAATCCAGTAAATCATGTGTGTCTAAATATATACGTATACAAGCACACACACACATGCGCACTCACACATCTTCTTTTGAAACCAGAGCCTAAATACCTAATAATAGCAGTATGTGAGTTCTCAGCTCTAGGTACTCACCTGGACAACCAGAAATTGGTTCTGACTGCAGTGAACTAAACCTAACACAGTCCTCAGATTAAACAAACAAACAAACAAACAAACAAAACAAAACAAGCATGTTGTGCTGACAGTTGATACAGTTTTGACATAATCTCACAATTACATGTTCTCTAGCCAGTTAGAATAACTGAATTTTGAAAAATATTCAGAAATACCAAATATTTGTGTGCTTCCCTTACAGGCTAAATGATTTGCAGTTTTCCACTGCTGACTTCTTAATTTCTCCTTTTGTACTGTAACAATAAAAGGCCTGAATCCTTGTCTCTGTTACATGATGATCTGTGAAGCACAGATCATCATGTAGCCTCTAAAAAAAAAAAAAAAACCAAACCTAAAAAACCAAGACAAGCAGTACTATTTCTGTGCAAACTAAAAGCTCCACATGATAGATCAGCTCTTGAAGAACTTAAAAGCTGACCGTATGAAACAATCTACAGGATTTAGCCTGACTGCCAAAGCATGAAATAAAATGCACACATGAGCTCACTATGGTCAGATGAATTGCAGGCGGCTTAGAAGTCTGTTGATCATGTCTTACTCCAGTGTTTGCTCAAGGTATGTTTTTTGGTCATCCGATCTACCTCACGAAGTGCTCAGACTGTGCCTTTCGCTTTGATATTGGAGCACTCAGCACACATCCCGCTGCAGCAGCAGCACTTGGGAGGCCTGGGAAACTCAGCTTTGAGGTGAACCAAGAAATAGAGATAAAAGCTTGAACACTGGAGGAAAGGGGAAAGAATTGGCAAACCCAACTATTCTGCCAGTATTGGAACTTGCCAAAGCATTTTTGATTACAAGATTTCAGCAAAGTGTATTATTTTCTTAAAGCTGAAGTGTCTCAGCGAAACATCATTTTTGACACAGTCCTGAGCAGGAAGGACACATGCACGCCTTTCAAACGTGGTCCCCTGCTTTGTCAGAATAATGAGAAATGAAAAACTTCCCTGAATCAGAGCAGTGAGTTGAATCTCCAGCAGCATTGCCCGTTGCTCTACCAAGCAGGCTGATAACCCTGTTCACACACATTTACAGAACGCGCCTTTTGGGTGAACCATTTCAAAAGGTTTTGCTTTTGTTCCAAAGAAAATAAAATTTAATCATCCTTACCTAAACTACAGTACTCAAGCCACCATCCTCTGTTTAGCAGGAGACTTATTAATGCAGAAGCTGCATTTGCACTCACTTCCAAGGGGTACCGCGGGAGGTGTCTGCCAGGACAAAGATAAAGCACAGTCATTGCAGATGCACATGGCTGGGACAGTAACAAGGATGGGTTTTGCCTCAACAATGAAGACTTCAATCCCAGAATTGGGTTTAGTAGTTGTTAAAATGAACTTGTGCTGGGAAGTACTGTAGCTGTTACTGGAAAACCAAAAAAGGAGGGCGTGATACTTTTTGCTTTGAAACAATAAAAAGTATGACAGTTGATACATTTTTGCATCACAGAAGATATTTTGTAGACAGTAAAAAACCCCACAAGAATGTTAGAACTGCACAATAGTTTTATAAGACACAGCTGAGGAACTTCAGCTTTGTACATTATTTAATTCAAACATATACAATAAGAGAAAAATAATAGGAATGTAAGTTTGTACTTATTTCCAGAAAATAGATTCATTTGACAAACAATGTTCCAAGAGTAAATAAACCTTGTAATGCAATTACTTCAGAACAAATGCACATCAAGCTACTGCAGTCCTATACATTGTACTTCAGCTGTCAACAGCCAATTCATCTGCTCTAGAGCCAGGACACTTCATTTACAACATGCGTAACAGCACGCAGATGGTAAGATGCACAAAGCAATGTACGTGAGATAAAATGTTACAAAACACTTGTCAAAATAAAATATATATGCAAGTTATCCCTAGTATTTACAACAAATAGTTTTAAATTAGAGATCATTCAGAAGGCATCTCCTACATACAAATGCCACACATGTAGAAAAAAAAGCAGAAAGGCAGTCAAAGAAAGGTACTGTGTTAGTTATGGCTAAAGACCTTTGGCTTCAAAATTCCATTATAATTATTTTCAAAAGACAACTAAAATGTGGGACATTTGAGTAGTCTGTCTTTGAACTCCGTTATTACACTGACCACTAAAACTCACTGTGAAATTTAGCATGGCAAGAGCCACTTGTAAAACAATCTTATTATTTTATACATCAAATGCTCTGAGTTAGACGCAATTATGGTTTGGCATTTTCCTAACTCAGTGGGAACACATTTGAGGACAATTATATTTTACTGCATCTCATGCATAAAGTCTGAGGTTATCTGCTCAGCAGGCCATCGGGAAGGCCCAGGCTGTGCTTTATCTAAGCGAGGCACAAATGTACTTAGTAGTTACCCTAGAACATTTTATATTAACTTAAAGCATGAAAAAGTGAGAGGAAAAGAATAGATGTTGCCATCGCACCTTTCTGATCATATACAGATTTTGTGATCAGAAGGAGGATCGGGGCAAGAGATGCTAGAATACAAACTTTTATATTTTAGTTGCAACTCTTTTCGCACAGTGAGGCTGAACCCCAAGCAAATATTTGTCTTAATTGTTGGGTAATGCAATTGTGTGTTTTCATTTAACTATAATTTGTTTAAAAGATTATGGTTTAAACTAAGTTTGGCCTATCTTGTTATATTTTATCTTAATCTTTTGCAAGTTCAGATTGCAAAGAAAGACACAGAGAATATTATAAAACGACCGTATCTATATGTAGTGTATTGTATGTAAAACTGTCCTGAGTAATCTGCACCATGAATCATTTGCTTTTTATCCCTCTGAAATTTACTTCTTGTGAAAAAACTGCTGCATCCAAAACCATACACAAACATTTCTGTTCATTTTAGGGCTAAGGCACCAGCGCTAATATGTGGGAAGAGCCTTCATAGGCACTGACATGTTAGAAGATACATCCCAAAACCTCCTTTTTTTCTCCAGCACTCCAGAGAACCAAGCCCTGGAAGGAAGTAGGTTTTAGCAAATACACATATGTAAGTAAGCGTGGATCTGATAATGTCTTCAGGTCCAGCTGGGAAAGTTTCTGGGTGAGCACTGCAATCCAACTTCAGACATTTTTTTTTTTTTATCTAGAACAAATCTTTCAGAATGTGATTATGAAAAGCATCATCTCCACTTCCACAGCATGTGCATCATTTTGGTTTGCAGGCCTGAACATGGTAAGTACCCACAAAACCAGGTACGTATGAAACAAAAGGGTTACTTATTTAAGGAGAAGGACATGCATCCATGCCTGCATTTGGGAGTCTGCTCCTTCTGTTTAAACTGAGCATTTAGAATTATCTTTTTAAGAAATCTGAGCTGAAATGGCTTGGTTTAAACATCAAAAGAAAAATATAACCCAGACAGTTTTCATTGACTTTCCCATGCATTTTCTTTAAGCTGGATCACTGAAAATGTCAGTGCATACTTCCAGTTCTGAAGTGTTTCAGGTCATCTTCCATTGCTATGGAAAGCACAAGCAATGAAGTTCACTATGCAGTGAACAATGCCACTGAGCATCACCAAACTCTGCATTATTGCTGAGCTATATATACAAGGCATTTGAAATGTACAGTTGTCAAAAGATGTAATTTAAAATCAAAACCACAAACCTGGGCTTTGCAGAAGTTGCCACAGAGTTATCAAATCACAAAATCTAGCAAATAGTGGGCTTCACAACACAGATGATAAACAAAAATATAGAGGTAACAATAGTAGCAGAAACAAATACATGTTTAAAATAAGGCTTTTTTTACTTTGTTAAGATGCCTTGCCTCTAGTGCCTTGTTTGTTCTTCATATATTGCAGATTCATGACAAAGCTGACTGTGTACATTGTCGAATACCCTTGGATCTATCCTTATCATCAGATAATGCCCCTAATCAGCAGCATAAGTATTGTAAAGACATTCATAGCAAATCAGTTCTGAAACATAGGGAGTCTTTCTTTCCTTCCATATTACCAGCAGTCTTGTCATCCTTAATGAGAGCTATCAAGCAGAAATTACCAGTGCTGCAAACATCAAGATCCTGTTTCTTCCTGGTGGCTTTTTAAAAGTTACTCTCTCAGATCAACTTCATGTCACAGGCAAATCGTAGCAATGTTAATCACATATTGCATATGCTGGCCAGAGCTGACCTTAAGCGAGTCAGGTTCTTCCCCTTCCAATACAGGCTGACAAC